TCAAAAATATGCGTTGCAAAGAATAAAAGTGAATAGAGACTGGCATTAGTGGAATATCAAGAATTAGTGTGAAAATTTTCAAGACCCATGAGTAAATTTATACTCTGTACTCAATACATGTATATAGGTAATTTCGACCCTTACAGTGCCACACATGTCCCGAAAAATCGCGATTCTCCCCTAACCTTTGATTGATGGCTAATGAATCTATATTTTTAGTGATGAAATATATATTATTCTAAATACAGAATTCTGATGGAAATCAAAACGAAAGAATGGGCACCGTGGGTTTAACTTGTACTGAAAACACTTCAAGAGTAGAAGAAAACAAAAACACGTCATATTCAATATTGCTTTGGAAGAACAATAAGACCCACGATGTGTAAAAATAGATATCTGCAATGATTATCACAATTAAAAAGTATATATTTGGAAATACTGGTCTATAGTAGAAATGAGTATGTTATTTCAACAGGTTGGAAATCATCTCGAGTTTCGCAACACGCGACAATTTCCATTGCTTGAAACAATACTACAATACAAGTGGTTATTGAACCTTTGGGACCAATATCCGTTTATGCTACGGTACGTATAATATGATTTGTCATTATAATAACAGATTCGGAAAAAATATTTCTTTTTGCTCAATGGTATTTGATTTCTCTACAAAATTTCATATCCATCTTGTCATGGCTGTAGAATTCATGTGTATAGATGTTCATAGTTCATTATGGCTTGGATATCTCCCATCGGATGAAGAAGATTGTATGACAGTATCTATGATGTAAGATCCAATAACGCGAGAGTATGTTAATAACATAAGCAATAACTTTTTTTTATACAAAACGCTATGAGTATATCGTTCGTTTGGGATAATTTTATGAAACTGATTCTACATGCATCAAAAGTGTACTTAAAGATACATTCCCGCGTACAAACTGGATGATTTGATGATTTATTTGGACTAAAAACATATTCAAACTAATTTATTTATACTAATTTTGCTTCAAATCCTTCTCAAAATATTGCAATTGCCAAGGAATACCCTTACTATAAAAAAATTCGATCAAAAGAGGTCATGTTTGAGTCACGTGACTTACCTCTCTCGGTACCTAGCAACGGGGGCGAAGTCGGAGGAGAATTCATTGCATACACAAGACGATGTTGTCTCTAATCGCAGACTATTTATTACAAATATCGAAGCCCAATTAAATTCTCGGATTATCCACTGCCCAAGTTTTTTTCCGTGGTTTTTAACTCAGAAACTGTTGTACGTCTAACTCTTCATAAAGTTTATCAACATGTACATCAAGCGCTCAATCTCCTCGTGCGACCTTTGACGTCACGCGTGCAGACACTCCTAATCGTCGGGCTGTCGATTAGGGAAACCCTTACAGTTTTGTCCTGTATGCGCTCCATGAGTGTTTTTCAGGGCATCCAGTATTTTTCTATTAAGATTGGTTATTTCTACCATATATACCAAAATTGAAATACATTTATTGGAAATAACCACCCGATAAATACTTTTCCGAGAACCTATCTTGATGTTGTGCCTTGCGCTGTTCTGAATTTTCATTTATGTGACGGTTGCGTGTCCGGATTAGAACTGAAAAACTTTTTAATTCCAAGTTTACACACATAAAACGGGTACTGCTAGGGCTGGGTGAAAATCCCTTTAGCGGTTCTGTGCAATAACAAGATTATAGCCCCTTCGCCCCCCACCCCGCTCCATATGTGTATTTATTTATTTTTTTTTAAAGAAAAAAACCCTTTAAATTGAAATAGCCTTCTTTCGAGTCCCGGATAGTCTCATTCATTGCTTGTGGCACCTTGTTACAAGCTCCACCACTTGTTGCATGGTAATCGGGCCACTAGAATTAACTCTGTGGTGTCTGTCTTACCCTGGTGCCCTAAGCAAATGCTTATTTATTTTAATGGTTAATCCGAGGCGGAGTATTGAATTTGTTCGACAATTAGAGATTTTAGACTTTTAAGTCCCCTTTTGAATAAGAGCAGTTTGCAAAAACTCCAAACTGGTGTGCAAAACCTAAAATATAGAACTCCTCATCCTAAACAGCAATCATATTCTAAGTACATAACGCAAAATAGTGTAATAATATGTAGATTTGGCATTAAATTTTCCACATATATCGTGCGCTTTAGATCCTATGGTCTGGAATTGAGTCAAGTGGTGTCGTTTCAATTCCCCACTTGTACTGCGCATGGGCTAGGATCGTATGTCCAATTGCGATGGTTTTCTCCTCTAAATACCTCATAAATCCAGAAATGACCTAGGTTGTGTCGATTGGACGTTCAATCCTTCACTAACATTAAACAGGATAGACCATGTATTAGTGCATCTATAACAAACACTGTGAAACATTAGATACTGTTTTTATCTCGATGTTCGCAGATAGAAATTAGACATAAGAAATGAAATCAATACATTGTAATGTGAACTTAAGTTAGGATTGATAGATTTTAATAATCATTTATTTTTTGCAAACCTTTTCATACTTATTGTTTGGGTGTTTTTGTTCTCAATATCATTTCACTGTTATTATACAATTTCGAAAATAATTAAAGATGCATTATTATTATATAGACATGTTTTCACTCAAGCCCATAACCCAACTAATGTATCTAGTTCACTGGATGGCAGATATATTGAATGGCCTAGATCATTTAATAATTTAACGTTAAAATGGATAATCGAGATATTGTGAATTATGGTAGCAATGATACTTGACAATCTAAGCTCTTTATAAATCTTAGATAATGCATCTTCAGGGGACAATTTTAAAATCGTATTAATCGGTTGTCCTGGTCTAATCAAAACTTAATGGGAAAACCTTTAACATTATTTCATAATTTATAAACATATTTCATATCGCGGGTTACTACAAATATTATATATTTGTGAAATAATATATATATAGAGAGGGGGGGGGCGTGGGGTTTAAGGTCTACTCGACACAAACTAGGTCATTTCGGGAGTTCAATTTTATTTCAATAATTCGCTTGCGCGTAGGGGTCTTTAGCAGTGGAAGGAAACCGAAGGACACGGAGAAAACCCGCGAGGTTGGACAGGCTACCCTACTCATTGTCACGTATAACCGGGGAATCGAAACCACATTAGTTGAATCAATGATACAATTATTATTTAGTCGTTTGTGAATCGGCCATTTTTGATTACTTCCACATTGTCCTCTCGGATACGTTTTCCTTTGCTCATTACAAATGGCACCCGAAAGCTTTATATCCGTAGAGTACACGACTCGTGTTCAGATTTTAAAGTGTCCAATGTGTCTTAAGTAGTCGATAATAGGATCCCATATTTTCAAGGCTAGATAACAACATGAATATTGATTGAAATGGATCAAAGTCGAATTCTAATTCGTGTTTTTAATTTTGAATATATATATGGATACTATCGAGTTAGATGTTTGGCTCCTTTAAAAATTATTTCCATAATTTCACTCAGTAATACTAATCCCAGACAAGAGCATTTTTAGTGAACGCCCACGGAACTGCAAAAAGTGACCGACAAGGAAAGATATGTTATATATATATTCATATTATACACATATCAAAAATTTAAAGGATTTCATAACAAATGAAAAATGGAATAAATTGCGGATAATTGAAATTTTAACAAAAATGTTCTACTAAACACCGGCAAGTGTGATATTTTTGTCAATAGCACCCACATTATTGCAATGAAAGATATGTTATTAAAAATATGTCTCACATATATCTAAAATTTAAAGATACATTATGGAAGATTAGATAAAGAGATGGCAGTTCTCGCTATACATGTAATAGTTAAAAACTAAATAATGTAATGGGAATTTGCTGAAAATTTCAGCCAAATTGATCCGCTCTGAACCCAGATTTTAGCGATTGAATTTTCGGCCTAGCCTCGATCATCATTACTAAAGTCGGTACGATAAAAAAAACCAGTCTCGATTATCCATTTCATGATTAAATCTTGAATGGAAGTCGAAAAGCAAATCGGAACCTAATCCAAAAAGCATCGCAGGCTAGCGATCACATCGAGAGTTCATTATGGTCTGGATAAGTTAATTAATGTCTAATTAATAATTTAGATAGCATTTCAGGCCTGCAATAGGCAGATTTAGCCCTTGCATATTTATATAAAAAATAGAAACAAATGTGGACAATTGAAATTTTTGACGTAACATTGGCTGATTCAAGATGGATAATTGAAATTTTTGACGTAACATTGGCTGATTCAAGATGGATGCATTTCATAATGCAAGATGTTTTTTATTTAAAAATATCTTCATAAATATTTATTCAAACTCATATGTACAGATCTATCTAATATTGTAGGTAAATTTATTTCGTATATTGGTCTTTGTTTGTGATTGTATCGTATCATGATCATTGGTGATAAAAGATGGTTTGTTAAGACAGACACGGGCTCTAATATCCCGCGTAGTTTCCTAATTTTCCTTCAATTAAACTGATTTTTTTTATCATGATATAGGTACGCTAAAGTTCCTTCTTAATAATATTACGCCGCTTTTTCGAAATTTCAATTATCCATGATTTTGTCAATTTGTTAGGAAATCATTTAATATCTGGATATGATTTGTAGAATATGCATATCTATAGCATATTTCATTGTCGGTCACTTTTTGGAATACTTTGCCGCTATTGACAAAAACAAAACGCGCTTTTCGCTTTTTGCCGGAGATTAGAAATATATTCTTTTAAGTCTATTACAACAATTATTATTTAATCTTGTAAGAGATTCTCAATGTGAACCCAGATATAACCGAATTTTCGATTACTTGGGGATAATAAAAGTTTGTCGCATCCTGTATAGAACGAACATTCGATTAACCCAATTACACACTTCATTTTCATCCTAATTCAAAGAGGCCCTGCTCCTTCAAGTAAATATCAATAAATGAACACCTAGCATTGCCACCTAATATTATTTTGTTTATTGAAAGAAAGTTTATTCTTACCTTATAAAGTTTGCGCCACTCTTAAACACACTCATTCACTAACTGGACAGTGCTGTGTCTTCATAAATCATTCATAATATTATTGATAGGCCGTTAAAGTTTGCGCAATCCATCCTATTGTCTTATGTACGTCTGCCTTTAATACTTGTTTGAACTTAAGCAGATTAGATGGTTAAAAGTACATCTCTATGATTCGATTGCGTCTAATAAATGCTGATTTTATATTGGAAATATTACATTGTCATAGGTTCAAATTGTTAACCGCAATGACTACCACGATATATTTGTCTTACTTTGAGTTAGAAAACGTACATAGGATTAATTACATGAAAACATACACGCTTCCAGGAACATACGAGACTAGCTGATCGTTCTCCTTGCCGTGAATATCACGTACAGTCGATGCGGCGTGGGCGATTGCAATTATTGACAAGGTAAATTGGCCCAACGATTAGAGCCTTTTAAGGTATAAATACATGTCCCTTATTAAATGAATCGCTCGCAACAGATATTGTTAAACACAGACATGTCTAACGAAGTAACAATGCGTCGACTCGGATTATAGATCAAGCCGTTCTATACAAAAACAACACCTGACATATTCATTTATTTTGAAATGTATGTAAATACCCCATACTTTAAAACGCTGGTTATCATACCACGTAAATATATACAAATTCAGTAAACTACATACCAAAGGTCGTCTTCTCATAACATCAATGCTTCACGTCACATTTGAAACAAAATAATGGTTATATACTGCAAGGGGGGGGGGGGGCTTGGGAGGAAAGGTCGAGGAGCGAGATATATATTTTAAGTTCGATCAAAATCGGATAAAAATTGAAGAGTTAAGGGGAAGAATGATCTAAGTCACATTTTTGTCTTTTCGCATAAAAGGCAAAACAGACTTCTGGACGAGAATGCTTGACGCGAACAGAACGAGTGGGTTAAATTACAACTACAAAATGATGTTTAATAAGAATCATAATTACCAGTACAACAACTGACTTCCACTTTTCAGCCAAATTAAGGTCAAATAAATACGATGGACTTGTATTTGTCCGGGAGGCCATTTCAGAAGGGCCTTGGTTCGATGCGACTGAAATTGATTGCTCCATAGAAAGCTTATACAATTTGCTACTAGATGGCGATATTCAACTAGGGTTCGTTGAAAAAGTGACTTAGATCGTTCTTCCCGGGGCTGTTCAATTGTGACCTTGGTATTACATACTTTAAAACTATTTGTGTATGGGGAGCGGACATTTTGTCGGGCAGTTTCGGACCGATTGTCACGAAATTCCAACCCAAGCGTGATTAGGATGTAACAGAGATATATTTGAACGGTATTTTAAAATCGGATAAAAATTACGATCTCTAGAGGGACCACAAATTAAAAACGCGATTTACGTACAATCAGGGGCCATATTCCAGGAAGTTACAGTCCGATATGCGCGAATATCGAAAAGAACCCTAATATTTAGGATATAAACAAAAGGTGATAAAAATTGTGACCTCTAGAGGGTCCACAAGATTGGCATTACATATCTTTACACTATTTGAGTACTTTGAGCGGCCAAAATCGTATAAAAATTGTGACCCCTAGAGTTTCCACAACCTTGGTATTACATACTTTTACACTATTTGCGTACGAGGGGCGACCATTTTGTCAGGCAGTATCCGTCCGATTTTCATAAAATTCGAACTCGACTGTCATTAGGGTGTAACGGTGATATACTTGAACGGTGACTAAAATCGGATAACAATTGTGACCTTTACAGGGACCGCGAGCTAAAAAACGTTATTTTTCGTAAAAATCAGGGGCCATAATCCATAAAGTTACGTTCCGATAAATGTCAATATCGACAGGAACTGCGATATTTGGGAGATAACCCTATATTTCCAGTTTCGTCAAAATTGGATACAAATTGTGACCTGCAGAGTGTCCACAAACAAACTGTGAGCAACAATTTATTGGGCGACGACAATATATGTCCACACGAAAAAATGGCCGGATGAAAATAATATAATTAAGATGAGTCTTGACGTAATAAGATGATAAAAATAATCAAAGCTTAATATATAACAATATTTCAATGGCAGGAGATAAAAGATAATTAATTTCTTAGATGGCCTTTGCTCTTTTATGATAATTCTGTTATATAACACGCAAAATCTTATTTTAATTCACGTGTTAAATGAACACGCGTACATCTGTGGCGGCTTCTTTGATGATTATCCAATCAACAATCTTAATCTCCTGACCAATAGCTGGCACTAAGGTGCTAATTAATTGATGAGATTAACAGTCAATCTCTCCAAAGTTATAATATACACAACAGACTACTAATGTATAGATTGTTCTTCAGTATAACACTATCATGTGAATATTATGCCGTATGTGTTGTGGATGTTTCGTTACAAAAGGAGTATATTTATTACGATTTTCGTAGTCAGCACCCTTGAAATCCTAAATAAAAAACATATTAAACGACAAAATAGCAAATAAATTGCGGAAATAGTCGGATCAAATTTTTACTACGATTTTCATCTTCAGCATCCCTGAAAACCTATGGAAAGATATATTCAACGACAAAACAGCAGATAAATGGCCTGGTTGCTATGGGATTTTGTTTTGAAACATACCAAATCTTTGACTTGCTTTTTCTCAAAACTTACTTTTGTGAGTTGGGTAGCTTCTAATGGACACAGTTCAGTCAATTTTTGCCCAATTCAAACAAACTATACATCAACTTGAAGGTAATGAGTTGGAGAATGTGAAAATAACAATAACTTAATTTTCAAAATTTCCTCATTGTGACTCAGTATGCTACGGGGGGTATGATACCAGTAATCAAGTAACAAAAGGTATTAATACAAACCTTAAGCTCAATAACCAACCACCGTCTCAATAGAATGTTGTTTAGAGTACAGGGGTTTGGTTTATATATTTGCGGAAATCGAGAGAGACAAATAAGGAACAGACTGTTCGGTAAATCAACAATATTAACAGTTTTAATCATTTGCTACTTGTTTAAAGGCGACAATCAACCTCTGATATTTCTACCCGACTGATCTATTCCGTGTGATCGTTGACACTCCCGGACTTCTTGATAGATCAACAAATCTAAATCTCATGCTTTATGTTTGAACAGATAACCCGATTACTTACACAGAGACTTACACAAAGACGAGTGTTGCTCTAATTCTTTGACATTTTAAAAACAAATGATACGATATAAATGAATGACGCCTACATCGTTTACTTAGGAATTCGATATAGTCAACGAATGGGTGATATTGCAGACAATCGTTTCCTAAGAAATTTGCCTGACGGGTTTGCCAGAACAGGTAGGCGGTGCAGAAATTGAATATTGAGATACAGTTTCTGATTCAGTATCTGCACCGTAGGTTTTGATAAGGTACACACACACACACGAAGGCTAGCATTGGTTGATTCTTTACGGGTTTCTCTTTTACCCACTGGCTTCTGTATCTCCGATTTTGCCGAAGGCGCCGTAGAGGAGACAGGACATGCATGAAACAATTCCCATTTGAGAACTTCACATAGCTAACAATTTGTATGTTTGTACTTTCGATTAACTTGAAGTATATCGATTTTGCCTTTCTTATCCGAATAAATAATTTTTGAGGATGTCCCAGATCAATTGTATATCTTAACTTGAGTTGTGTATAATTATCGTGTAGCCGGTATTGTATGGTTTGTGTTTTGACTTGTCCTTCGCCCCTGGCTACTGTAGTCTTTGTTTCTATAAAGATTCCACATTGTATTATCAAAGAATTACAAAAAACGACGGCTGTCATTTTATAGGGTAATTTGTAATCTGTCCTGGTCTGTATTCTAAATGCAAAAACCCAGTAGCAAGCCGATCTCCCAAAGGCGAAACGTCTCAATTGATTAATTATTGTTACAAACTATAGAAAAACAGATAGAAAACCATGTCTATGAAGAAACAAAATGTCAGTTCTGTTATACTTTACGTGGTAGATCGACGTTCTGGTAACAGAGATTAAGTACATGTATGTACATTGTACTAACTCGAGCTAATAGGAGATAACCGGTTAGAATTAAAAAGCTCTGTGACCGAAATGTCGTACAATCCTTTTATGTATCTCAATCGATCCCTCCTTAGTAGCGGAATCGCACCATTATTATTGGTATATTTAAATACGCTTCAAAATATTCCATAATGCTACATGTAACCGCAAGTAGCAGAACAAATATTTCAACCACGACTGTATTGTTTGAATTGAAATAAAAAAAATCATTAATGTTTCAATCGTTTCTGAGAATTTTTGATACTGCAGACTGTTAAAATTTGTTTTGGAATATTCTTCAGCAGCTTCATCTAGAGAACAATAATATGTGGAAAGTCGATCGATCTCTAGACAGACATATATACTTGACGTCTGATAAATTTAACAATTTATGAATAAGTCTACAAGAAATATTGACAATAACTTTACACGCCTGCATTTTCTGAAACCCACGATATCAATTAAGATCAGTGCTGTATTTTGCCTATATTTGATAGTGAGCTAGGCGCTAAACACTATTCAGGAGGTCATTGGCTCGATTCGGCGTTGACCGAGAACTTTCCTTGGGATGTTCTAGCTGGATTTCCCATGGGACGAAAAATCGAGGTCCAGATGTTTAGTTATTGACATAATTTGGATTAGAACGTTAAACATCTAATGTTGCGACACTTGGTTAACACAATCTTGAGAGATTGAGAGGTAAAAGTGCAACTCGGGTATACATGCACATGTAATTGTTAACAGACACCGTTCACATTTGCTTCAACATTCAATTGGATAGTTTAAAGATGTATTATGCACGATTTAGATAAAGACCTGGGCCCTGTTCCACAAAAACTTAAGGTAAAATCACTAAAATAGATTTTAACTAAATCAAAATGAAATTTTAAATTTTATGCGTTTCACGAAGATCAAGAGTGTAAGTTAGAATGCAATTTTAATAGATTTTAGTTAAAATTGCTTGAAATTACCAAAGTGCCTTACTCCTTATTGGATAATGCCTATCTGTCTTACTCCTCTTTGGCTCCCAAAACTTATCTGATATATGCTGTGTTATTAACGTAAGACTTCATTAAGAAATAATGATAAATTTATGATATAGAACATTTTTCAATAAACACATTTGAGATTGTTGATTTATCGTTTTAAAAATCATCATAACCCCCAAACTATATGAGTAAATACATTGCATATAGCATGTCTAGTATTATAGGCCTTCTAATACCAAGAAATTGGACATTTCAAGCGAAGATGATTTTTTTTATAGATAAGAGTACTTTTCTTTCCATGACATTAGATATGAAGTGAGTTAAGATTTTCTTTTTGTGGGTTTTTT